GTCGAAGTACCCCGTCGGCGCATCCACCATGATCAGATCCCACTCGATATCGTACACATCGCTCGGCAAGTTCTTGAGCGCCAGCTCGCACTTTGAAAACCTCGGATCCCCAACAGCTTTGCACTCGTCCTTCCTTCCGATCTCCATGAGCTTGTCCGCTTGGTGGACCTTGGTGTCGTATGTCACGTGGTAGGCCTCTAAGCCCGGCAGCTTCTGTTTGATTTGGTCGATCCATGAATTGTCTTCTTCGAGGAAGACGGTTCTTCCGCCGTGGTTGAGAGCCGTCCACATGAGGCTGTCGCGGCCGAGGCCGAAGACTAGAAAGTTGCAGGGTGATTTTTTGGAAAGGATCGCGGCGGAGACGGAGACTTCTTTGATGGTTTGTTGTGGGGTGACGTTTGTTGTGGCGTAGTGGATGATGGCGTGGGCTAGGGATGGTGGGATTTTGGTGCATGTTGGGGTGAATGGTTGATCGCATGGTGGTGGTTGTTGTTGTTGTTGTTGGGTTTAGGGTCTGGGATGAGATGGGATACTGAGGAATTGGCCGTGGACGGTGACGGAAATAGTGACGATGAGAAGGTTGATCTGACAATGAAGACAGTGAAGAGGAAGATGAAGCAGCAGCAGAGGAGGATGACCTTGAGACTGATGCCACATTGAGGTTTGGACCTCATGGTGCTTGATGAGAAAGAGAGAGAGAGGGAGAGAGAGAGAGAGGGAGGGAGAGAGAGAGAGAGAGAGAGAGGGGACCGAGGAGATAATATTGATCTGAGGTTTTATGAACAGAAGGTGGGGGAAGTGGTGGGGAATGGAAGAGGGGAGGAGACGGGTTATTGTTTGTTACTGCTTTTCAAGGGGAGGTTAGCAAAGTTGGTACATTAAATTAAGGAGGGTAGAGGGAAACAGTGGCACCCTTGAGAGTTACTCAAGCGATGATGGCATATTACCAGATCCATGGTAACGTAGTGTGTACCCTTAAAAATGTGCCCCAGTATTTTCTACCTTCACGCCCATTATAAAGTAATATTTTTGCCAATCACATTTAAGTAATGGTGATGCTCACAATTCTCAAGTGATAATGATGTCCACTACTTTATTTTGATGAGTTTAAATTTCGATATTTGTTGAATGAATAGATCAAAACCTTAAAAATTAAACTCATCTAATGTTAAACATTACCACCACACCATTATCATCGTAGTGGAGTTTGAACCCTAACAAAAATTGAGACTTAATTTTAATTTTCATTTGTCATTTTTTAATAAAAACTGAAAACAATTATCAATCACGTTTTTAGTTTCTAGCTTTCTTTGTCACCCCTCCAACTATTTTGCACCTGAGCTCTCCCACACCATTATCATCGTAGTGGAGTTTGACCACCATGTTTGGCTGGACCCCTCGTAGAAGGACTACAACCGTTTTCTTTATCTAAATAGTTTCCAACTACGTTTTGTGTAAAAATTTACAAATTCTTTTAAATTATAGAAGTGCTTTCTAGAAATGTTGATAGGTACTTCTTCAAAAAGCACCTCCAAGTATTTTTCACGAAGCACAAAACAATTTCTAGAGTCAATAATAGCCCTAATCATGGATATAATTCCATCAATGGGACCCGGATTATATGTATTATTCTCTTAATTAAAGGAATTAGACGTGATTAGGAAGAGAGATAGAGAGAAGTAATGATTAATTATATCTTGCTCTCTAATTGAAATCTGAAATCTTCATCTTAGAAGTGGAAATTGGATCCTATCCTGATTCACTTTGTGAGGATCTTAGAAATCCTCACATCTTAACCGTTCATCGTATATCGTGCGATAAAAAATCATTTGATTTTTTTTATTTAAAATTAAACACAAATAGTATTTGACGAAAACTAACTGCACGATATATGACTAAGAAGTGAGAATTCTTAGAATCCCCACAAAGTTAATTTGGAGAAAATCCTCTTCTTTATAAGTGAAGCAAGATAGGTTGTTGGAGGGTTGATGTAGACACAAAGGCCACCACCGCTGTTTCAGTTGGTAGAAATAACATGGTTGGTGTATCGGCCGCTGATATTTGTTGATATATTTCTGATTTTTTTTCTCTTTTATAATAGCGAAGGTGTGATGCTTTTGATTATTCATGTCTTTTGCTGTGCTGCAAAGCTTTTTAAACTTGACAAGGGACATGTAGTAGTTATAAAACCTTTGTCTAATTGCGACATATAAAGAATACGTTAAGAGGGTTTGACTCCTAAGAAAAAAAAACATTATGAGGGGAGAGATTTTTTTAATATATTTGAAACATGAGTCGATAGTATTACGTGTTATAATATAAGTAGAGAGACACTAAAAAAATATATATTTTCGTTTATGTTATGACATGTGATTTGCCTATTTCTGTTGTGGTTGAAAGGGAAAAATCTTCCGTTTAATTTAGTTATTGATGTTTTGGATTGAGATTCAGATGTCTGAGAGAGATTTTTTTTAGTATACTTGTAAGACGAGTCGATACATTACCTGTTATAATATAAAAAGCCTCTCTACTTATATTATGATGCATAGTTTATCGATTCGTGTTTCAATTACTTGAAAAAATCTTCCATTTAGTTTGGTTATTGATGTTCTAGATTGAGATTCAAACCTCTAAATGAATAATGAAATGTATCACGTATAGGAAAGAACACCGACGAAGAAAATAGAACAGGTGGAATGAGCATTCAAAAGGGCATTTTGATAACCATAGAATCAACCCTTTTAAAAGAGGGATTTGAGTTTAATCATTGAATTGAGAATGACATTTATGCTTTGCTTGGTATAATTTTCTCTTTTTTATTTATTTTGAAAACGCAGAGGATCGTGGAACTCAACTCAATAGAGAAAAAGAGTTTCAATCTTGAAACGCAACAGTAAATAAATAGCAAAAAGCAAACTAGAGCACAAGGGCTTTTTTAAAGTGGTAACACCCCATATACAACGGAGAAATTTCACGGGCAAACTGACAAGAATAATTCACCAAGATCAAACAATAAATACAAGACTCAAAGACTGCCTTGCCTTCTTGTCTTCGTACTTGCTTTCTTCGTCTCATCTTTTTTTATTTTTTATTTTGAAAGCAACGATATATTCATAAGTCAAGAAAAACAACAGGTAAGCTGATCAGGAAAAGAACCAGCCGCTTTAAGGGTTACAATCCATCAAGTAAAATGTCTGGAGGTTCGTCTCATCTTGATTGAACGCAGTCATCTCAAAGCACGAAGGTTCGCCCATGGCTAGAACACAATATGAATGATGATATGAATGCTAGATGTGTTTCACTCGAATTTCACTTCACTAACCTAGCATATAGATTCCTTGCCTCGAAGCTTTTTCTCGCACAAAACTTATGATTGGCAAGGACAGAAAACCTGCTGGAAAACCAGCAGTATACAATGGATATCAGAATCAAATTTGATGCCTACAATTAAGTAAATTCATATTATACTTTGACTCTATAGTAAACTGATTATATCATATAAATTGATTTTATTGGTCTGACTCTCTTAATAAAATATAAACACTCAATTTATATTTTCCTAAAATAATGCACATGAACTTTACCTTAAGTGAACCATGAAGTCGTATTGCCTTTGATTGTCCTTGACTTGCAATGTTAGATCTCACATCGTCCAGGAAAGTAGATCCTTTATACCTTATATGTACATGCCCACCTCCATACGAGATGTGATGGAGCCCGGATTGGGATGTGACATGCAAGTCTTGAAACCTAGACACTAGAAAACACTTAAAATCTACCACTAATCTATTACATACACATTACACTTGTCTAGGAAATTAGCCATCACGAAAGCTTGAGCTTTCAGCTTTGCTTCTTGCACGTTATTATTTTTTGATATGATTAAAATACATTTGTATAATAAGTGGATGAGACGTTTTCAATAAGTTGGTACTTGTTTGGAATATTAAAAATGTTGAGATCAATTTGAAAGATACTAAATTTAATCTTATACTTTTTAGCAGATTCATTTTGGTCCTTAATTGGAGATGAATTTTGCATAAAATTTGGATTAAAAGGGCCCATAGCCATAATCCGAATTGAAAAATCTGGTTCTAATATCAATTATTTACAAGCCATGAACATAAAAATTAGAATGTTAGAAAAAGAAAAAAAAAAGGATTATAAATTTATAAGTACGGTGAAACCAATATCCCAATTGCGAAGTCAACCATAAGGAAATTGGCAAACATAAATGACTTTAATTCAATACTTCCCTGGTAAACTTTATAATAATGGGTTTAATCGATCGGTTTGAGGTATGTGCCCTCTATCCACAAAATTCGTTAATGAGATAGATTGGTCCAGTTTACTTTGGTGAGATTCAATACATGAACGAAAGAAACAATGTCTTATGAAATACTTCTTTTATTTTGTCTCAAAATTATTAGAGGTATCAATTGATTCAACAATTGGATCGTTGGAGTTTCATATAATTAGTCTGGGGTTTATTCTTTTAACCGTAGGTATTCTTTTAGGAGTAGTATGTGCTAGTGAAGCATGGGGATCATATTGGAATTGGGATTCAAAGGAGACTTGGGCATTTACTAATTGAAGCATATTTGCTATTTATTTACATATTGGAACAAATAAAAATTTTGAAAGTGTAAATTTTGCAATTGTGACCTCATTGGCTTTCTTATAAGGATAATGCTTTGTAGAGTAAAATTTTAAATCGAATTTTGTAAACCAATTAATTCACCGTTAGAAAATAAACACTAAATTAATGATCTAATTAAAATTCACATTATTCAATTTGTAAATTTGGTTTAAAATTTTGGTTTTCCTAGCAATACTCTTCGTATAATTTAGATAAGGGGAATTGTAATTAGTACTCTAAAAATCTCATTTTGCATTCCAAACTTTCTATAATTAGAAAGAAAAATAATATAATGAATTTTTTAGGATGTTAATACAATTTCGAAAAAAAAAAAAATTGCCCAAAATATGTTACTTTTCCAATGGAAGAAAATTGGGTCGGACTCACAAAACCCTTGTTTTTGCCGCCAAAAGAGAGAGCAAACTTCTGCAAAACCCTACAACTTCTCCTCCTCCTCCTGCTCTCCGACTCTAAATCCAAAGCTGTTTGTCTCTGTCGATATGAAATTCGCAGTGAAGGCATGGAGCGGCGGAAGAGCGCGGACCGGGGTTCTCCACTTGGGCAGCTGCCCGACCCCAATAGAGACCCCTTCTCTTCTCCTTTCCACCCGAAAGGGCCTGCCCCTGTTCACCCCTCCTGACCTTCTTCCTTCTCTTCCTTTGCCTGATTCCCGTCTCTTCCATGTTAGCTCCCTCCACTTGTAAGTAATTATATTTATGCCCTCCAGCCTTTCCATGTTTCTACTTTTGCCACATTGACATTGCATTCCACCTGTTTGTGAATTGGTCTGTGAGAAAACGGTTCAACATTTCAAGCATTGTTTGACTTTGCAGCTTGGAAGTCCCCTCACCTCAAACAATTTCAAAAATAGGAGGACTGCATCAGTTGCTCGGCTTGCCCGAACATGGGTTCGTGTGCATACCAAGGGACTCCATTCAATGCCTTCCTGAATGTAATAGCAGTAACAAATTTGGAGCATCTTTCGAGACTCCTTCTGGTCGCCGTTTGGTAATTGCCTCATCTTGCTTTCTGGAATAAGTTGATTTCGGGTTAGTTGGTGGTGACTGTATAGTCTTTTTATGTGCTTGTAGATGAAACCCGTAGAGTATGTTGAGTTGATTACTTCCTTGAAGCCCAATATGTGGACCACTTTGGCAGATGAAGTTCCTGTATGGGTCTCTGATAAGAGGAACAAGACCTCGGTTGATCGAACTATAAGATGGCTTGATGAATGCATTGAGCTAAATCAGGTAAAAGACCGTACTTTTGTGCCATCATGAAAGACCCATTTTAGAGGGGTAGTGGCATCATATATGCTTATACAATCACTGACATATGCGTTATATACTAGCTGTTCTGCTAGCAGACCTAGACGTTTTAAAATGAAAAAGAAATTGTGCTACAATATATAGAGCATCTTTCTTCTTCTTTTTGTTGATAATATAAATCTGAGTTTACTCTTTTCTGTTTAGACTGAATGATGGACATATATTGCTCAAAATGTAGGCAGGTGGACCTGTCCTTGGATCTATTGTTGGTGGGTCTTCCGTAAATGAACGTGAGAGATGTGCCCAAGAGGTGGCTAGCCGAAATGTATCAGGTTTCTACAATTCTTCGTTTCTTCCTTATCACCGACTTGTATGTTGCATCCTTTCTTAGAACTTATTTGATTTTTTATTTTTCCAAGAAAAAAGAATTTGTTCCATCAAGAGAACCCTGTAAAAAAATTGGATAAGGAAACAAAATTACATGGACTAAGTTTATTTAAAGATCAATTAAAAACGATTTGAAACCTAACAAAAACTTCTGACTACCAAAAATAAACACAATTTATAACAGCTAATAACTTCAGCATAATAATTGAGAATGAACACTCCCTTATGGAACTGAACTTCCACTTTGGGTTTTCTTGTAATTTTCTGAACATTTGAAGCTTTTGTGAACATGACAAAACAATGGGAAATTAGTGTATTGGCACTATTAAAATCTCATTGTGCACTCCAAACTTTATACATTTAGAAAGAAAAATAGAGGAGTGCACAATGAGATTTTTGGAGTGTCATTATTAACACCCTTATTTAATTGCGTTGATATATAATTTGCTATGAAAATATTTTTTTTCTCCAGGTTATTGGATCGGAGGATTTGGCCTTGGAGAGAACATGGATGAGCGTCCTGCTCTCCTTAATGCTGTTACTGTAAGTCACAAACTGGAGCCTTCAGTTTTCCCCTGAACTTGATCAAACCCTATTCTCATACTTAGTACATCAAAACAAAAAATGTCTTCATTTATATTTTGATTTTTGATATCTAATTCTCATATAAATGTTCAGGATATCTTACAAGAAGAGAAACCACGCTTGATCAGTGGGCTTGGACTTCCAGGTAACAGGTCTACCATTGTTATAATAAACTGGTGGTCTTACCAATTTGTTGTCGATACATCTAGACTTCTGAGGACCTTGTTATGGTTCGAATGTTTTGTGTGAAATTTTTTTCAGAAATAAACAGCCTAATTTATCAAGAAAAATTTCAGGACTCTGCATGTTTTGGGGATTGGTTTACCATCATTTTCTTCCACATTTTGTAACTGCCCCTTATTTTGTTAAATTGGAAAAAAAGTAGCTGGTTTTAGAATTTTTCCATGTAGATTGTTTATTAGTTTTATGTTTTCTTGTAGGATGGGTGCTGTTTAGCTCCTTCTTGTGTTATTGATATTCTGTTTCTTCTTGGTGGTACCTTTTGAGGACTATTGAAAAGTTGAAAATTCATTGTGTTTCTTATTTTTTATAAAAAAGGCTAATAAATTGCAGTTTCCCAGTTATTATGAACTTGGGGAGATCCGTTAAAGGAAAATGTTCTCAACAGTTAACTGTACCTTTGATCAAATGCATGATTATTCATTCACAATTATCGGCAAATGAGCTTTTTCTTTCTATCTCACAGAGGAGGTCTTGCAGGGCGTTGCTGCCGGCATTGATGTCTTTGATTCAACGTGAGTTGCTCAGTCTTCTAACTTATTTGAATGTCTTTCTCCTTGCTGCTACCATGATCCAAAAGGGGATGATATGTATCAATGTTTGCAGGTATGTATGCCATCTTACCCTTGGCGGCTTTGCACTTACGTTTCCCCTTGATGGAGTTGATATGAATGCATCTGGTATTGAGTTGACTAATATTGGAAGTGACCAGACAAAGATTAATCTGAGAGCAACAGCTTACAGGTAACTAATGACGTCTATTTCTACTTGTACCACTAACAGTGCGCATGAGTTTGTTCAATCTATCCCCTTTGTAATTTTAATTAGTAGATATCAAGTTTGACATAAAGGAATAAGGCGCATGGCATGTCGATTGCCGAGTGATTTAGGATGAACTTTCAGTGCAAAGTATATTAAAGCAACATAAAAGAAAATGCAAAATGAAATTTAATAATACAAAAGTAAAGAACTAGAATGCTGTAACCTGTGGACTCGTTGGGGCTTTAGAAGTTTTTGCATGACATTGTCATAAGGGGCGTCTTTGCGTTTATGTTTTAAATTTCTTGAAATGTTACCATATTTAGTTTATCATTTATTGCCAAACGGATCCAAAAATAATTAGTGCCGTAACTCTTAACATGATATTTCCCTACGAGATCCTTGATTTTTTTTTTTTTTAAACTCTTTCAGGAAAGATATGTCACCCATTGTTGCAAATTGTAACTGCTACACGTGCAAGAATCATACAAAAGCTTACATCAATCACCTGCTCAATGTTCGCGAAATGCTGGCTCAGACTCTACTAGAAATGTATGTGCTGTTTTGCTTCCATTCAATATCATTATTACTTGCATCACTACTGTTATCGTCGTAGCTGTGATCATTGCTGTCGTCGTCGTCGTCATCGTCATCATCAGATTGTCCTTTGATTGTGCAGACATAATACCCACCATTATCTAGGATTCTTCCGTTCTATAAGGGAAGCGATTAAGTCTGGTAATTTTGAGCAGTTCAGACAGAAATTCGTTGAGAGTAGATGTTATCATGTTGTTGCTGAAGCTGCTGCTGCTGCTGCCTTCATGTGAATTCATTACGCGCATTTCAGTTTTGTAATCTTATAGACATCATAGAGCATCCGCGTGGGCGCCTGTCTTTTTTTTTTTTTTTTTTTTTTTTTTTTTTTTACAATTATACCATATTGATGAACCAGTGGAAATGTAAAATTTATACAAGCTTCAGTTTCGAATCAGTATTTGAAAGCGTTACTTCTTCTGTTATCCCAATCTGTCACTCCCAAAATGTTCAGTAAGTTCTAGTTCTTAGATTGTAGCTCTCTACCATATGTTCGAGGCAGGATCAATGTACTTACGTCATTTTACACGCGGATGTGGGTTACCCAAGTTTTAACCTGTAGTTTAGATGAATTTGGTATAACTTATCTGATCATTTGTTCGGCCATCTGGCAGCCCAATCGGGCACGGTTTAATGATGTATCCGACCGAATTTCGAGGCTTGAGACAGAGTGAGCAGCCATGCTAAAGAACAAGGAAAGGCTTGCCCTCAATTTTGGACAGATCTAGGTTTTAACAATGAGTAGTACTAGCATAAAGATCAATTCATCTCAGCTTCCGAGTGCAACTAAATTTTCTAACTATACAAGAATGGCTACTGAATATGTCTGGAACAAGTACGACAGAATCTTCTTGTAGTCACCGACATGAGTACCGGTGTTAGGATCAATCAGGTAAGGAACCTATAACAAAGACAGTTTTCGCAGTCATCCTTAGGGTTCTCAACAGGAGATTGGCGCGTACGCTAAGAAAAATCATCTGAGGGATAGATGTTTTCAAATGCTAACCTCTTTGGATCCAGATGCCTCAAGTAACTTCGACCGCGGGGACCCTTCTCCCACGTTTTGAAGGATGTAAGGAAGTTCCAATTCACAAAGTGCCTCACGCACAATTCGTGCATACTGGAAACAAAGGAAAAGGAAGGCGTGTGTGTGAGGGGGAAGAGAAAGATATTACAAATCACATGAAATGCCACAAGTCATTGAAGGATTTATCTGCAAACTACTTCCAGCATAAAATACAGAAAATAATTGTCAAATGACCCTGGAATTTGGCCTCAACTGTGAATGTACAATGTCACGCTGAAAATTGTTTTACTGATAGCACTTGGAAATTCCATCACCGTTTATGGACAACTACGACTACATAAATCTTAGGACAATCACGTCCTAATTTAGCCACACGAAGACCAAGTGTCAAATTAAAGCAGATTGTGATTTGTGTCTGTCATTTTCTCTCTTCTTTCTTATAAGACTGTCATTTTCTCTCCTCTCCCTTGAATTTAGGCCGTTAGAGCTCAGTAAAACAGATTAAAATGACCATTTTATGTGCAAACTAGAAATAAATTTAAACAAACGGGTAAATGATAGGGAGAAAAGAAGAGAGGATTGAAGCCCAAATTGTGGCGACGGGCAAAATGAAATATGAAAACACATGCGGATGCCTAAATCATGGTACATTGGAATCGATTCAATGAAAGACCATTGTCTCACCGGATTGTTTTCGTATGAGTAAAGTTCCAGCTTTTTGGGTGGTGGGTCTGGGCTCGCCTTTTCCCACAATGTCAATCCTCTGCCTGCTCGCAGAATTGTTGGCATCCATCCCGTGAATAATGTGCTACAGGGAGCAATATTTAATATATGAGAGAGAGAGAGAGAGAGAGAGAGAGAGAGAGAGAGAGAGAGAGAGAGAGAGAGAGAGAGAGAGCCAAGGTTCAATACCTTTCCAAAAGCCCCACTGAAGGCTTTCTGCCTTTACCATATTGCTGGAATAGGTATTTCACAATTTCACCTGTAATCAAAAGCAATAAGGTTGCAAATTATACAACCTTGATAAAATAATTTCAAACAACGTAAGATAAACATGAATCAGCATAATGTTACAAGTTCAATGTACATTATTGAGTGTTAAACTCTATGCAGACTTAGTTAAACTTCAAACACATTGCAGAAAAACGCTCTCAATTACAACATTTAGCTACGCTCAATGTAGATGTATTGATGTAAGCACTTGCTGATACTTCCCCAACGATGGGACTAATTATTGATTCTATACCATGTCAAAACAGAGAAGAAAATAATGTAGGTGAAAAGAAAATGTAGAAGCAAATAGCTTTTCTAAGAAGATAGAAACCAAGCATTACGAAATATGATGACGTTGCTCATAAAACCTATTGGTTAAATGAACTTGACAATTGTTGAGGCAAGGAAGTTGGGAGATGTTTTATTTACCTATAGTACAGAACATTCAGATGAAACAGCTTTACAATTAAACCACCCATGCTAATCTAGAAGACAGTACAGCTTTACAATTGGTTACCACTTTCATAGATGGAGTGCAATCTGTGTGTGTGTGTGTGTGTGTGTGTGTGTGTGTGTGTGTGAGAGAGAGAGAGAGAGAGAGAGAGACATACAGACAGAAAGAGACCAGGATACAAAGAGATGGAGTGGAATCCATGTGAAACAAACAAAGTTTAATAACTTACCACTTTCATACATTGAAATACCAGTATTTGGATCAATGAGAAAAGGAAACCTGCATAAGAATATTCACAATTCCAGTTACAAAGGAGATGAAGGAGGCACTCAACAAAAGCTAGTAGTAGCCATAATAACGACCTTTTAGGCAAGAAAATGCATGATACAAGCATATTAAAGTTAAACAAAATAATAATGTTGTCATATTTGGTGGATTTCGTTGTGTTAAATATGCTCTCAGTTATCATCTGTTAGTTCCAATTTGAGATACATATATAATAACCTGACCTCAATACAAACTCAGCCCCAATTAGACTTGATTCAACTTTCAGAAAATATTATCAGAAAGACAACAAATTCTTTCTAGATGGTATAAGGATTAAAGAAATGAGAATTACATACAGCTCTTTGCCACCGAATCTTTTAACCATTTCTCTATGTCTTACCGAACCTTTTGGACAAGGATATACCTGCAAATGTGCGTTTACACTTGACATTTGAAAATCCAAATACCAATTAAGCATCAACAAGGAATAACCACTATGATTACCCGTTGAATTGATACGTGTTACTTACCTCTACAGAAAGATCGAGCTCAGTCAAAGCTTCTCTAACCCTCCTGCAAAAAGGGCAAGCCTCTGTTGACAAAACCAGTTCGGGAATTCAACAAGGGAAAGATTATTTTCCGCAATGAAGTTAAGTCAACAATGAAATAGATTGTACCAAACAGTAAGAACTAGTGTAGAAATATTCACATTGCCAACAAAACAATTAGCTTCTTAGTTCTTAGTCATATGCTAATCATGCTAATACACAAGTTTATAGCCTTTGATTGGTCCAGTAAACAAATTTATACCCATGTTTGGTACACTGGTAACCTCAATGGTGAAAATTGTTGTCTACAACACTAAAACTCCATACAAAACAAAGCTACAATTACTTTATTTGTAGTCTTATAATCAGAAAGAAAAGCTTACCAAATTCAAAAAGCTGCAAACGCAAAGGAGGATCCAAGGTAGTGATCTCCTGGCTGTCCATATTATTTGACAGAGATCTTGATCCCCAAGGGAATCTAGCCAAGGTAGACAACGAAGACGTAGCTACCTATTGAGATCCAAAACAATGGAAGTCAATTAGGGTCAGCTAAGAGGTAAGTTGTTCACAGATAGGCATATTCCTAATGAAAACTTATGGTTAGACCCAAATCCATGGATGTTTACAACACCTATAGGGCAGAAAATCAAACACACACTGAAAGGAATCAAAGCTGTGATGAAGTTACAGTCCAATCCAATGCTATTAAATTGTAAGGTTACAGTCCAATGGTTCTTTAGCCACTGCAATTTCACAGTAGGAACAAACGATCAATGCAAAGTTCCGTTATTGAGAATGAATTTTTAAAGTGATTACCTCCAAAGTAAAGTTCCGTTCTTGAGAGGGATCTCCTCCCTGCACGAAACAAGACGAAAACAATGGTGAACAAATGCCAAAAGATCAACACAGCATTTCAATAATTTATCATAAACAAGAGTATCAAATTCAGTTGTATGAACTTTGAAGAAGCAACAACAATTTGGTAGAGCTAGTATCATAAACAGGAGTATCTTCACATGCAGTTGACATTAGTAATTAGCAAAAAGTATAGTGAAAAGGAAAGGAAAAGAAAAGGATAGGAAAGACCGACGGAGAAGAGCTTGAGCAGGGGACAAAGAAAAGACAGAAGGCTGGTTGATGGGTTGCCGCCATTTTCTCCGGTTGCCGATTCGTTTTGTGCGTCGGAGTCGGCTGAATTTGCAGGAAGAAATCTGTTTCTGCGAGGAACCCAGTTCCCATTTGTCAGCAATGTTGGAGAATATGGAGATAGTTTGAGGGTAGAAACTGGAATTAAAGTGGTTGGAATTAATGGAGAATTGTGGGCATGTGTGAGGAAACTGTATGGCGGAGGCGGATGCTGAGGCGGAGAAGGCGGCGGCTTGGAGGAAGAGTAGTAGACTAGTGTTTGAGAGCACGACGTCAGAGATGCTAGTGACATGTTTGGACCTTGCTTCTCTGCTGTTTCAGTTGAGTTGTTGCCTGTTGGGTGGTTATCAGTGCTTGCTTTCGCTTCGCAATCTTTAAAAATCTCTCTCCATCTTTGTACTTACTAACCGCAAAACAACAACTTACATGTCACGGTACACCGTTACATGTGCCAATGAATGAAATAAGAACATACGGAATACATTAAGGGAATAAGACATAAAGAAATTTTTTCTTGTATAGGGTTAGAACAGATAAATTTTATTCTTGATTAATTCAATCCTCTATATTAAACGACGTTTCCAAAATTAGTTATTTTTATTCTTTTGTTAATAAACACAAATTATAATCATTCCTTTCAAATATGTTCTTTTAGTAAACACACGAAGAAGAATAACACTCGTTCTTTACAAAACTACTCCTTTTACCATGTCTTAATCCATCTAAACTACGACAAAAACAATTCGAACTTGAGTGCGCTTCAAACTCGATCAAATCAAAATCAGGTTTTTATTTTTTAATTTCTTAAAAAGGAATTTACACTGTTTGAAAATTAAAAACTCATTTCAAATTGTTTTCGCTATTAGGATTTTGATCTCATTCATTTTCTTTATTTCTTCCCCTATATACCACTATCTTTTCATCTCACATTTCTCAGTTTATTTCATTTTCATGAACGAAATAACGTGAAGAAAAAAAAAGGTTTATTTTTCGTTCGTTTGAGTCAACAGTGATTATTTATTTATTTAATTTTCAAATAAAATTTATGGACCTATATACCCTTATCATGTAAAGGATACAAATAGTTAATTTTAGGGTACAATTAACAAACTAGGAAAATAGCTTTTGTGCCACAAAACTCATGAACAATGCATGTCCGGAATAGACCGACTACAGAGAAGATTGCTGTTGAAGCAAACAAAAAGGCCTTGCGAGAAAACAAAAACAAACCAGAACCCGAACCCGAACCCGAACTTGAACTTGAAAACTTCCTCTTTTATAGTTTCAGTGAACAGAGTGCCGTGAATCTCTCCATTGATCAATCTACCAGGAAAAAGCACTTGAGAGCTCAATTTTCGCACGCTACGCAAAAAGGGGGGAACCTACGGAGCAACCTCTGAAAGAAAGCATGTAAAGAGAGACACTGCCTCTTGCAAATGACTTGAGCGATTGTCTTCAGGAATGGGAGCACAAAAAACAGTGTCAAAGCAACTTAATTGAACATCTCGTGTTGGTCCCTCGCCAATATCAGATAAAAGCAAATTGCATATCTCGTCCGCCATCTTCGAATATACTACCCTGTTTGGTAAATATGTAAATTTCATGATAACTGTAGAGCAAGCTACGACGAAAATTAAAATATCACAGTAATAACAAGCGTGAGTTGTCTTAATAAAACCCAACAATTTTGCTTCGATCCGTGCAAAAGCTCAGTCAAGGGTTGTTGAACGTACCTCACGTCAATTGGTAACCTGACACCCCAAACAGCCAAAGACTGGTTTAACTGACCAAGAAATTCTTTACAAGCAGAATTTCTGCTTTCAAGTGTATCCTGCAGCATACATAACACAGTGCTGAGCCCTCATTGGAAAAAGAAAGACCAAATACCAAATGATTACCCCAATTTATTCTCGAGTACATGGCATCGATTTGGGCCTAGAGTATGAGTATCGCTTTCACAAATATATTAAAACATAAAAAGAAAAGAAATATCATCATTTTCTAAGCCTTTCGACATCATAAAGATCCCGTTGCATTGAATCTTATCAACAGCCAATTGACTATTTACAATAATGCAGGGTTCACTATCATGCAGACCTACAAAACATTTATAATCTTATCAAGTAGGATAAGCTGTCATACCAATTGATTCATGGTATCGTTCACTTCCTGCAATGAACTTCTAATCGAATAGAATGAAATATAAATCCCAGCTCCGAGGTCCCAATTTTCAATTTCTGATTTGTGGTCCTCCATGGAAGTTGCAATTCTCCATATATCTGAGTGTTCGACTGCATTCAGAAAAGGAAAAACAAAATTACAAACCATATTAACTAAAGCAATTGAGGCCCAAATCTAGCGAGTGAATGGTTCATATATTCAAAATTTTGGGAACAAAATCAGTTAAAGGTACATCATCCCTAAACCAATCAACTACCTGCTTCTAAATTCAATAGGTCGAAGAAATAAACTGTTCAAGTTATATGCATACTCTTAACAACAGAATGAAAAGTATACTTTGCTTTAACAGATTCCTAATCAGTGATTCTACTAGAGTACATCCAGAAACTTAAGAAAGACATAATGAAACTAAATGGAAAGAGAAGTTATTAAACCATACCAGACAAGAATAATTTGGGAGCAACAGAAGTTACGAAAATAGTGTGTGCTCTCTGCCAATTTGCACATTCAAGAAAGTGTTCAAGAGCCTTCGCAAGATCCCCATAGTAATTGAAATACACAGCCTGCAATCCAAGAAAAAAAAATCATTCAAACAGTAGAATAATTAAGTCGGAAGACTAAATTCCATTTCCATTTCCAAGACTTTCAGATAAGCAACCAACCACAGATAAATTAAAGGAAAACAGCTGACATCGAGTTTTTGGTTTTTTTTAAATTTATTTTTTATTTTTTATACCAACTGCTGTTCATGAGATTTGAACTCAGCACACATCGAATTTTTAATTAGAATCTTAAATAGTGATCTTCTGATGAGAATCAACATAGGGAACTCCAAACCCTGGGATTCAGAAACTGGAAATTGAGAGTATCCCTTGTATGCGTTGTAAATATGACAATGATCATCTTATTGCCTCTGTCAGCAATTTAGAGCATCCTACAATTTTAATTTAGATTTTGTGCTACGTGAAAGGACAGACATCCTATAGCATCTATCAGCAATTCAGAGTAATATGATTTTTAATTGTATGATTTATTAAGCTTCACCCCAGTGCTTAGAAGTAGAAAAGGGGAGGCATTAATTAACAAAACAAGATACCAAAATGTTTGTCTTACTTTGTTACATGCCTGGTAATCCTAAAGAAATTAAAAGTCAAAACAGCAGACTGGTAACCAACAAATTTTCTTCTCAAAGAAAGGCTCCCAAGTTCCCGAAACAGAAAAGCGAGAGTCAAGCATGGCATTTCAAAAGTAGGAAAAAGAAATATTAATTTCCTAATTGTTAGTAAAATCCATATATGCATTTACTTTTTTTAAAAAGAGGATTTTTGGAATATTCAAGAGAAAAGGATTTGTTTGCAATCCCACATTTTTTGACATGATCAAATTTATTCGTAAATATCATGGGCATAAGAGATTAATACTTTTTAAAACCCCAAATAAGCAATTTACATTGACAACTCAAATCCAAATTTCTCATCTTAAATCCTTGCATCCAAATGGATCCTCATAAGATTTCAAATAAGATGAAAAAGACTTAAAATAACAAAAATAGAAGTTTTAAAATGAAAGTAATAACAAATCATTTCGAACTCGAATAGGGTTTCAAAGTGAATATATGGTCAGTCATTGTCAATAAGCTACTAAGCTCATTGTTTTTTCATAAACATGATTTATGTTCCAAGTATGTTAAGATAGGACGTCAAAATAAATTTTTGTATACAATTACAACTATACATTGAATCAGTAAAATGAGAATATATGACATACCATAGCCTCATGAAGCCATGCCTTAGGAATACCCAAGTCTAAAATGGCTTGGCGTTGTGATTCTTGTGAACTCCAGGATTCACAATATTGGAACAAGATTTCCCGAATAAGATTAGAATGGAGATATGGAAAATCTTCAGACTGGGGCATGTGAAGGACTACATAGATGGCCCAATGACATTGCCCAAGACACAACAGCTGGGAAACAAATCCCATGTCAAGAACATGAAGATCCTTAGAGCTGATAGCACCAACTGCTTCCAACACTGTACGCTGATGCCAGATCATATGGTAATCCAGTGGATCGTGTGTTGACGAGAAGGCACTAAACATGGGCTTCAGAAAGCCAACTTCACTTTCTTCACTGGCATGAAGCAGCATCAGATAATAAGATAGATCATAACGTTTCACCGCATTCGAATTCCCAGCCTCTTCTACCAGTCCTTCATCAATGTACACTGGAACTGGGTATGGAGCTTTACCATCGTCAAGAAGATGTTGATAGGTGTGAAAAATCGTAGGCAGTGAAGTGCTAGGTTCTAGTTGATACCACATCAACAACCCTAGAAATCTCTTCCAATCAACGTTAACATCGTGAAAAGCACCATGGATATTACCAGCAAGCAACTCGTAGAGCCTTATCCTGTCTTTCTCAATGAAGTCGAAATCAAGCCCATTGATCCTCCAACGATCAAGTTGTTGGGCAACATCAGTACGATTGACTATGGACCCACCGGCCTGACTCAACAAACAAGCCAATCTCACGTCTCCTCGAGAAGCAGCAAGTTCCACAGCAGCATCCAACTGACGCCCACTCAAAAGTAACAATATATATTCTAGATAACTGGACTCATTCAAGGAGCTTATCTTTTCTTGTACTCGATGAGAAACATTCTCCTGCAACCAATAGCTAAACTCTGCCCTCCGAATAAGAGGTAAAGCTTCCAGGTCTACTTGTTGAGAAGCTTCCGTCACATCCTGAACCATTTCTTCCTCACTTTCAGCACCCAAAGATTTCAATTTTCCACCATTTTCCCTATCAGAAAAGAGAACTTTTATCAACTCCCAAATCATTATTTGGTGTGTCAAAACCAAACGGGCAGAGGAAGATAGGCTGGGAACTTCCAGCTGCTTCTCAATAATATCTACATAGCTCCTACAAATCTGTGGAAGCATCAGGCGGTTGGAGACAAGCTTTTGAAGCCTCAGGTTGAATGATCCAACTTCAATCTCCTCTGTCTGATGATATATTCCCTTGTGAAGATCTAAAGGAGAATCAATAGCCATGTCAACAAGTTCCTCCCTAACTTTGTTGTTTTCATCTCGAACAACACTGTCAATAGCAACCTTCTCTATATTGATTATGGATGATAGCATCATTGGAGAACCGTTACTCCCGACTGGTGTTCCAGCATGGACAAGGGTTCCATTTGGGCCCCATC